CGGGTCAAACCCTTCAACTGACGTGGAGTACGGGTGAGTAATTTTAGTCTAAGTTGGGTATGAGTTATATTCGGTACTTAATTTAAAAAATTTTTAATATAATTTTTTAAATTTGATAGCTACTTTTTTTTTTTTAATAATTTGTAATTATTTACAGGATTAATTGGGAAGAGGGGGGAAAGAGGTTCCGTGAGGTTCGAACGTGCAACCCACAGAGGTGAACAGCCCTAACCCAGGGTCTAATATCACTGGGTCGGAACGGGCCGTTCAAATTTGATAGCTACTTAAATATTAAAAAATCTCTTAATACTTAACTCAATAATTATTAAGTAACTTGTGAGTATATACTTATATTTTTTATTTAAGAAAAGAAAAGGTTTAATATAAGATATTGTTGTTACTTTGTGTTATGTATTTGGTTTAAAATTTATCATTTATACAAATTATTATTATTGTGTGTGTAATTTGTTTGGTTATATGTTTTATTTAACTTTTATTTTTAATTTTTGTATTTTATTACTTTTATTTTTAAAAATTATTAATACACTAGTAATTGTATCTATTTTTTCTGTCACTAAAATCATGATTTCTTGTCATGAATGCAAAATTAGTTACTATTAATTTTATTGACTCAATATTTGTAATGGACAGTAACCAATTAAATTTTAGATACAAATATAAATTGTGACTAAAAATATTAATTTTTGTAATTGATTTTACCATCACAAAACACCCATTTCATTGTAGTGATTGTTATTATTATATAGATGTTTTTTTTTTTTTTTGATGTATATTATTATATAGATGTTAAGTGTAATAAATATATGTAAAATTTCATTTACACAATTATAGGTAACAAGTAAGTTAAATAAGTCAATTAAATAAATTAGGTAAATAATTCTAAAGTTTTATATTTGTTATTTAACTTAATACTTATAGGAGTGGTATTTTCATACCCATTACTTATTTATTTTTTTTACAATTCAGATATAATATTCACCTAAATAATAATAAAAAATACTTATAAATAATGGGTGTACCTATACTTAATGCTCACCCCTAATGGGGAGACTGTATCCAAGGGCCGGTGGACTCCAATCCAATCATGCCGGACTGCAGAACATATATCTGGGACAGAAATGAATCTGTTGAAGAAGTTAGTGCCAGTGGTGGGAAAAACACACAGAATTCAGGCTGAAGTGGAAGAAAAGGGGCGGTGTGAAGAATCCGTGTAATCTTGCTGACGCCAGTCCGTGATGCGGGTTAGTGATTATACCAAGTCGTCACATATATGCTTATCCGTAAGGCATCAACTTCAAGTCGATCTAACCCCACAATTTGATGCTATATTCTCTTCCAAAAAGAAAGAAAGCAAAAAAGGCTATGACAATTTTAAATTATGGGAGTCCCAGTCCACACCCTACAGTCTCACATGGTAGGTTCAACCGTCCAAGAATGGAGGACTATTGATTCTAACACTATTTATTGTGAGACGGAAAGTAAGTCTATATGAGTTCACAACTCAATCCTAATATATGTACATATCCTCCAACTCTATTTTAATCATAATGGTCAATTTATTTATGCTCTATTTAGTCACAAATTTTATTTTATTTTTTTT